TATATATATATATTAATATTAATATATATATATATATTAATATTAATATATATATATATATATATTAATATATATATATATATTAATATTAATATATATATATATTAATATATATTAATATTTATATTTATATATATGTTAATTAATATATATATATATATAAATATATATATATATTTATATTTTTATTTTTATTTTTATATATATTTATATATATTTATTTATGTATATGTTTATGTATATATATTTAAGTTTTTTGTATTTTAAAATCTGAAACTATGATGACTTTATAAAATCTACTTCTTAAAAATTGATATTTTATTCCAGAAAACAACATGATTGTAAATTAATGGTTATTGATTCATATCAAAAAATGAAAGAAGAATATCTTTATAAATCCAGTATATATATATAATAGTTTTTAATAATTATATATATATATATAATTTTATTTTTAAGATAATATTAACAAATAATAATCAAAGATATTATAAAGAAATTTGATTAGAACCTATGTCAAAACCTCAATAATTTTTTTTCTATTTGTGAGGTATTGAATTTATCACGGTTGTAGAAGCATGTTTTGTGGTCTAATTGATCATATTTTTCTATTTGAAAACTGTATTCTTATTTTTTGATATTTTCATTATAAATGACTCTAAGATCACCATTTGTATTTAGAGGGCCACTAGTAGCAGTAAATGTTAAATCAATAAGGCTACTAAATATAATCAAGTTACATAACATAGTTATGTTATTCCAAGACTGTAGACATGAATAAAGTGCTTGTGAAAAAGAAATTTAAGTAGTTAAATATATAAAATATAAAAATATAAAAATACATAAAAGCTTAATTTCAAGAAGAAATAAATTTCAACAGTTAAATTTTCCAAAAATTAAATTACTTCTTTCTTTTAGCTTTATGTGACAACAACATTTTTCTAAGTTATAATATGATATATGAATTTTTCTGAATTACAATATTATGTATAATTTTTAATTAATAATAGGTGGTGAATAAATGCAAGAAAGAGTATTACAAAGTCAAATGATAATATGATGATGACCTACTGTCAATACACATATTTATAATCAAGTACTAAAGACAAACATTGAAGTGAATTAAGTTGAATCGTTTAGAAAAGAAAAAATACAATAAATATAATATTTTAAAGATATTTTTAAGATTTAAAAACATACAGAGTTTCAAAATTGCTTTCAGGTAATGAATAAAATTAAAATACACTGAAAAAATAAAATTGTGTTACATTATGTTAATAAGTTATAATTCTTGAAAGTATTGTATCGAATTGGTGCAAAGCATGTGATTCAAAATGCTCTAAGTCATCATACTGGATGGAATGAATGAATAAACAAACAAACAAATAAATATAAATATAAAGCTCACAGTCTTCCAGGTGGTTTACAATTCTCTCTTATTGACACTTTCCAATGATACGAATGTAATAAAGCAAAGAAACTAATTAAACACTTTTTCTTTTCTTTTTTAGTCCCTCTTTATTAGTAATCTTCCTACAGTTCTATTATAGCTTGTCAATTGCATGAGTTAGAAGCTTTTTGAAGTAGCTATGTTGCTGATTACATGTTTTTAATTTTACTCAATGTTCTGGACCATCTTAGTAGTGAAAAGCAATTTCTGGGTCGAAGAATTGTACCTTTTAGCAGTTGCAATAGTTTGATAGAACTCCACTGAATTGAACGATGAAAGGTCATGTTGGCATCAGAAAGAATTCTATGAGTACATAGTTGTAGTAGATGTGGTATTAGTGTGCATGACCACCTCTTCCTTTCAGCAGAAGTGTGCATCCTTAATAAGGCATGACGAATTCAAATCAACAGGATGTGGCGATCCAGCAGGACATTCAATCAGGCTAAGCACAAAAAAACAAGCACTAGAAGTTCAAATGTTGATAATGCTACAATGTATCAGATCAAATGGCTTACTGTACATGAGTTGCCCGCTGCACTTCTCTCTACCCTACAAATCTGCAATAGCAGCCGATGAACGGAACCACCACATATCCCTCAACAATATAATCCATCGACAATACCCTCATATATATATCATGGTCCCAACATAGGTGACTACGCGGCCGTCCTGATCATCACTGGTAATTTAGTATCCATCCTACTACCTGCACAAACCAGCGCTACAACTAATCTACAAACTAGCAGCACTACCAACTACAATTCAATTTCAGTTCGATGCAGACACACCACAAAGCCGTTCTCGAACGCGTGAAAATGCATTCGTTGAACCACAAATTGTTCACATTAAGCTTTGTTGGACGTAATTCAACCCAGATGAGAAGCTTGATAGAGATTGAATAATAAATTCCTTTGAAGATATTGTTAGATTGAACTCATACTAGGCATACCGTACCCTCCGCTTAAGGGGGGCATGCCGTAACCTCCACCCATAGGTGGCATACCACTCATGGTAGGCATGCCCATGCCAGGCGCAAAGCCATTCACACCAGGAACAGGAGGAGGAGGTAGAGCTAAAGGCAAAAGCTGGGCATACATATTCTGCAAAGAAAGGTATACGAAACATCAGCCAGGGTTCGTAAACTAGTGCAAGTGAGCAGAACTACTTTCCTCATGACTTCTACAGTACAGACATCTCGTGCAAGTTATTTAAGGACATGCCCATATCAATAATGAAATGGACAAGGAAATATACCTGTTGCGCCACAACCTCCTTCTCTTCGGACTCCTTCGACCTCTTTTCTTCAGTTGCTTCAATTTTATCCTTGACAAGGTCATCAACCTTTGTTGTATACTCACGAATGAACTGCAATAAGTAGGAATTAAGAACACCCGATTTTCAGAAAACATAGTAACATGTATTGTGGGCAATACCAAGAACGGAAGGTGTGAACAAACACAATTGAATGGCAAGCGACAAGAAAGGAAGACGAGCAGAACTCAGAATACAAACCTGTAATAAATAAGGAACACAAAAATCCATCATGCCATGCATCCAGGCGAGCTCCACCGCAACATCAGCACGAATGAGATCGTAACAGGTGTATAGGCATGCAGCAAAGCATTCTTTCTTGCCCTGTGTCATACATCCCAATACGCAGAATTAGAATCAATTAATTTATTTTAATATGCATAAGCCTTAGCCAAATAATGATAACATAAATCAATTAGCTACCTTGTCCACAAAGAAGGTAAGCAATTCCTCAGCAAGATCACGATCGCCTGATTGTGAGGCGGTTTCCATGGCATCCTTGTACAAGTTATCCTTCTTAGAAAGAGCGACCGACTGTTTCCATCTCCCAGCCCTCTTGTAGACGTAAGCTGCAACTCGTCGCATTTCCAGAAGTTCGTGCTTCTCAATCTGAAGGGGTTTTGTAAAACAAAGACATGAATTAAACAAATACTAAGAGCTATCAGTTATCAAGTATCAATTATCCAAATTAATGCCACACCTGCAGGCTAATGGGCACCAAGGAACATGAACATGACAACTCACAGTTAGTGAAGAAGAATTACCCGCTGTGCCATTGACATCTGATCAAAGTTATCATACATATCAATGGACTCTCTGAGTCGTTCGTAATCCTCATCTTCAATGTATAAGCCATTGAGAGCCTCATTCACTGCAGCATTGTTAGCACTCTGTACAGCCACCATGTATGGTTTCACCAGTGATAATTGTCCAGCCTGCAGTTTTATTAAGAACAAAATGTAAGAAAGATCTGTTATGTGAACACATTCAAACCCGCATATAATGAACCAAAGGGTTCGACACAGTTTTAATGATGCAATAAAACATGGCAACCGCATCCATAGAGGGAAAGAAAACACATGATTTCAATGACAAAGCTCTCAGAACGATTTACCTTCCGCATGATGTCTACCACCCTTGTATGATCTATTCGAGTAGCTAGGACATTAAGAAGATCGCTGATGTACTCTGGATGCTCCTGCAGATAGAAGTGAGTAGCCTTGTAGTACAATTCCACATTGGCTACCTTCACAGCCACGTCCTTGAACTGCATGTGATCCCAAGCCTCAGGAGAATGGCTCATCATAGTAGCAGCGGCATTGTCATACTCATCATACTGAATATACAAGAATGTAAGTTCCTGCCAGTGCTGTTGCTCGTCGCAAACGCGGATAAGTTTTGGAATATTAATACGGGTAACAAAAAGCTTGAGATGCTCCATAAGCTTCTCTGGCCGGTATTTCGCATAAAGCGTTCCAAGTTCTGTGAATATTCCCATGTGTGCACGCTCCAGCCCAAGCCCACTCTCCATAAGAGAGATAAGCTCCACAAAACAACCCCTGTTCTGATAGTACTGACTGACTTCTTCCAAGTCGTCCACCTGGTAAAACCCCATTACAAAGCGGTTTATTAAAGTGATCTCATCCAGCACTGCATAAGAATGCCACCAGCCAAACTAGTAATGATGATATCAAAAACAAGAATGATAAACATAATCCAAACACATGAGAATCCGAGAGTCAACAAGACAGAAACAGCAGATAACTTGCATCAGATTTTTTCTTCTCCTTACACAGCTGATTAAAGGTAGTCAACTAAGTAATCATCTAAGACTTGGTTGAAAAATAATAAAATCACCTGGACAATGACATTAAGACCGCAGATTTGCGCTAATCGAAATTCCTCAGCATCAACACAAGCGAAACACACTTCCTTCCAAGTCCGTGAGTTATTGGCCTTCCGAGCCGCATCCACAGCTGCTTGATACTGATGAATTTTGACAAGAGTGCTCGCCAGTCTAGCCCAGTTGGAGATGTGAGTAAATATGATTTTGGCAGCTTCGTACAAGGAGTCATCAAAGAGTCGGTCTCCAACGGTTTGCAGATTCGCAAGGTTAGGAGAAATAATGAAATCCTCAATATCACCCAATCGATCAAGTCTAGCATAGGAATAAATCAATTCCGAGTCCACCCTCTGTTCCTTCACCTTCTTCCGAACCATATGCAAGTATTTGACAAGATCCTCGTAAGCTTTGACATTGGATGCCACATTTATAACTTCATTGTACTGGGTAGCATCGTTAGCCTTGATGAAAGATTGAATGGCATCACTTACCAGCCCTTCTCTCAACTGTGCCATACCCACCTGGCTCCAGACCTCATCCTCTTCCACTCGTGCTGCAAATTCCACAGCACGGTCAATGTCGCGGAGGTGGTCCAAGAGGACATTGACAGCTTGCACGTTCAAGTTGAACTTCTTAAATATAGCAAATGCTTCCTCATAAAGCTCAGCACCAACAGCAATTTCCCCCACTGCTGGACCATCAAAATTATCCAATCGGTTGATATAGTCCATAACCCTTGATTTATCAGCCTTGATTGCTGTGAGAATGAGCAGGTTCTGGAGATTCGGGTTGCCACTGAAGGCAGAGTTCTGTAGAACAATTTTCTCTAGAAGTTCGATCAACTCATGGGGCAAATCTGCAGTCATGAATGCCTTAACAGTGGCTGACACCTGTTCTGGATTCTTGCTCTCTGGCAGTGCAGTAGAAACGACTTGATCAATGAGCTGTCTCCTGAAGGGATTTTCTGGGTCGAGAACCTTCAACCATAGCTCAGGATCCATACGCTCAACCACATACCTGATCACCACCAAGAGGACAAACTTAGAGAACATTCAAGTACAGAAGGTAAAAAAAAGTATCCGCGAGTAGAGGACTAACAGAAAAAGACACTTGAAATAGAAGAAATACATGAGCCCGAGATTGACAGAGAATTTTAGAAGTGGCAAAGCGACAGAATTAATCTTTACCTGGCCTGAGGCTTGAACATAGAGTTCTTGTTCGTTACATTGATAAGCTCATCATCACACAGACCTCGTTTGTATGCAACCACTGCGAGTGTGGGGTCGCGCTTCTCACAGTACTTACCAACAACTTTTGAGTCGTAGTAAGGATTTGTAGTGAGAAAATGCTCAGGATTATTGTTTGTATCTATGATGATCTTCCCAAGAGCATTGTGCACATGCACATCTTGGCTACCTTCACTTACCAAATGCTCTAAGAATTGTGTCAACAGTCGCAGACGATTCCTATAAACCCCACAACTCATCAGTTCTCGACGACGTCAGGATGTTTAAATCGTGACACTAAAATGTTTAGACATTTAAAAACGCAACCTAGTTCTAATATCTGTCTATGAGCTTCCTGACAGTACTGGTGAACAAATTAACAAGGCAATTTGTACTTGACAAGAACAACGTAAATTCATCTACATGGCTCACAATGATTCAAAAACTAGCATTCAACGTACCTCTTCTCACACTCGGTGACCAGAGGCTCAACAGCAAGCAGTGAGCGGACGGATAAGATCAAACCCTTAATGAAGTCCTCAGGGCAATCATCATCAAGCAATTGCCCAACCACCTGAGGTGCGTTTTGTGGATTGACCTGCATGAAAAATAGAAGGCAGTACAGACATCAAGAAATCCAAACTACATTGAAGGAGAATCAATTTTTACTCATTGTACAGGAATTCTTACGAACCATGTATCATTGAATCTCAAATTACCTTCTGCACATATCCTTCAATATATCGAAGCATATTGTTGACATAAAGGAAATGAGTAAGATCTGGCACAAAGCCATGTCGATCGCAAACATTGATGAGAGGCCTTGCATCTGGTAACTTTGCTTCCATCAAAAAGTTTTTGGTCCTCTCAGGAGGATAGAAGTTGGACTCTCTTGTGACACGTTCCACTTCCTTGATTTGGCCAGTCTTTGCTGCAGCCTCAATGTACTTGTAGTGGATCTCAGGGTCCTCGCTGACACAAAAAGATATAGTTTACTAGGCGGATTGTGCATGCATAACTTCATGCATCCCAAACTCACCCATATCAATCTGCTTACCGTATACCAGATTCCAAGCCAAAATTAAAATTAAAAAAAAAAACAGAAAGAAAGAAAAGACATAAATTCCCACCTTGTACTTAAGTATGCGCCAAGGAAGAAGTAAAGGCCTTCGTATGATTTGAAGCTCTCAAACAACTTTACACAAGAATCAACACCCAGCTGTTCCCCATACTCCTTCGAAACCTGTATAGAAGAACACTTCCAATTTCATTAAGCACGTTAGCTCCAAAAAACTCAAATGAATAATCAAGTACTCCATCACTAGACTAGCAAGAACCCACACAACATGGCATCACAAGTGCCTTGGCTACAAATGAACTTGCTTTTCCAAACGACGTACCTGCACGATAATTTGAAGATTCCCTCGCATATTCACTTGGAGAAGCTCCTTCATGCAGTCTAAGGCCCACTCCCTAGACAAAGTTCCAAAAAACTCCACTAGCGCCTGCAAAGTCACAAACACAAAGCACTAGGCGCGTTATAGTTGAGATCTAAATCATCCGAGGCTGCACATTAAACTCCGGGATTCCAACCAACCATAGTTCACAAATTACATCAAGTTAAATGCAATACCTGAGGTTCAATAGCATGAGTGTTGATCACAACACGCTTGATATCATTCAACTCTGTGTAATGCTGAAGGGCACGCATGTAGAGACCAGCTTTCTCACAGAGTTGAGCAATGCGAGGACGATCATAATGGGAGAACATGCCATTCGCCAGAATTGCATCAGCCACATTGGGAAATGTGACCAAATTGATCTCCAGTACCTGAGAATGTGACATCAATCTAAATATCAGAAACTTAGGTCATTTCGAATTTTAAAAGATAATGTACATAAAAACTCCCCTAGATTCATTAGTAGGAGTAATGGAGATAACTAGCATGACAAATACTGAACTGATTCCAATGTCCTGATAGTACTACAAAGTCGTAGCTTGCAGCAAGCCAACACACACCTTGGTTTGAAGTAGGGCATGCTCCGGTAAATTAGGCTTCAGAATATCCAAAAGAAACGCGGTTGCCTCCCTGATCATGTTGCGCTGCAGGACGAAAACACAACATCTTAGAGAATGTAACATTAGAAGACAAGTTGTGCTCTAGTAGACGATGAGGAAATTTATTAGAACGTGAAAAATATGAACTAGAGCTGACCCATACCTGAAGGAACAAGTCAGTGATAACATTATAGTCTACTGGACATCCTCTTTCCAACTGAGACATCATCAGAGCAAAGTTTACAGCACCCTGCATGCACATAATGAGACAATGACATTAGTACTGAAGATAAAAAACAGATTGTAGATTATCAGAAATACAACCTTGGGTTATTTTTAAAGAAACAGCATATGTCATTTAGAAGTACCTGAGGATCTGATAGCAGTATTGTCTGCAGCAGGAACAGATAATCTGGTGTATACCCAACCTACAGTGTAGGAAAAACTGCGTCAAACAATACACGTGTGTAGGTTTGCTCCCCCGCACAAAGAAGAAAGGCAATTGAATACCCTGAAATGCAATGCCAAAGGAAACAAAGCACGTTGTGAAAGGCCAAGAGCCATCAAATATTTTGAGCATGACTAACCTGCTTGGAGTAAATCAGAATCTTATCAAACTCTCGCCGCTCAGCAAAAGCTGCAACCACCTTGGGTGTAGCCCTGGCCTTTATGTAAATTTTCAAAGCCATATCACTGTCTACGGTCTGATAAGACATGCAACATTTTCTACAAATTATTAGCTAAGCCAGCCATTTGCATAGCGACAGAAGAAAAACTGAAACAGAACTTATCCATCAAATCATCTTACGACATAAAACCAACTGATAGTCAACACCCACACACGACTCTCAAACGGAAATGCAATAACAAGATTGCCTACATAAGAGTAGCCCAGGCCATATGTACATTATTATCAGCTAGACTCAGACCTTGACATCCATTTGCAATAGCTCTTAAGTGAAAAATAGTAGATCTAGACTGATGCACTGCTCAATAAGCATACAATATCAGACCTTGACAAGATCTCCGAGTTCTTCACTGCACTCGAGTTTGTCTTCCGCCAACCAGTTCTCAAGTAGGTTCTTCTTGTTTTGATTAACAACCAACCGGGAAAGCTCTAAGGACTCAAACACATTCAATTTGCCCTTTGTCAGCAAAGTTCCGAAGTACTGCAAAAGTGGCGACGTTTGTCCGGGCTGCACTGGAACACTCTGTAATAGTAGAGTAAAACATGTTAATTCCATGAGTTAAGTCAGAAACAAAAACAAGCTAGTCTGATGTGTTACAGACAGGGACTTCAAAAAAAAGAGACTAAAGATTCTATAAGCTAGTGAACTAGGAAGAAAGACACAAATTAAAGTAAGCAACTTTTATGAAACAAAATTTGGGCAAAAGTACGACTGGGTGACTTGCCTGAAATTTGGCCACCGTATCTGGAGTTCGAAGTATTCCTTTTGGTGATTCAGCTGCAAGGTCAGCTGCTTCCTTGTATTTCATTTGAGAAAACAACTCGTGGAAACGTTGCACAACCTAAACTCAACACCAAAGTCTCTTATTCTTCAGTGTATGAGGTTAGATGCAGTAATAGACAAAAGAAAAAATGAAATAGAAGTCATACAAGTTATACTGAGGAAGAAGAGGCACAAAAAATTCCAATATAGTAACTAAACGTGAGAAATTCATCTGATAAGGATAGACCCACACAGAGCCATAACTATGTTCACAAACTGCGATGCGAATTCAAATGGATCGCGTGGAAAAATGAACATACCAAGCCCTCGGCTCCAGGCAAATTCCCTCGTCTGGCCAGATTCACCGCAAGCTCCAAATTGTTCAGCTGCAGTTCATTGGATATGATCATGCCAAAAGATATATGTACTGGACAAACATCACCACTCAACCATGGTAGAAAGAAAAAAAATGTACATTTGTTAACCAAGTTGCTTACCTGATTGCTGACGAATGGAACAATTGTTGACTCATTTACAGTCGCCAGTAGAACTTGTCCGCGGCGATTGACAGCATAAAATCCACCAGTTGTTGGTGCATCAACTGTCAAAAAGATAGGATCTGGACTGATACGGTTTCTGTACACAGCTGTAGCGGTTTCTAGATCGTAGACAAAAAGAAGGCCCAGCTTTGTGATAACGTAGATAAGATTGTACTTCGATGAGATCTGTCCGGTCCCAACAATGCATCGGTCATGCTCAATGTTCAACACCTCGACGTTTAATTGTTAGAAGGGGCCGAGGAACGAAAACAGTGATACGCAGCCAATAGACGAAGTTGAGTAATTACACATGAGATGCAATGAAGTAACCATGAAGTCTTGGACAGTACTTTTCAAGACAGTAGTACTCATTTCTATGGCACCTCACACTAACGACCCACCTGCATTGCAACTGGAAAATCGTCTGCAAAATCCGGAGGAAAAAACAAGTCCGCCGCCTTCTTGGCAAACCCGGGTCTACCTGGAAATCAAGCATAAGAAATAAGTCAGGCTTACGAACGGCCTTTCATAATATCCTCCTAATTGTAACGACAATATCACCCTCTTCGTATCCATTCACAAGAAGGAAGACTGCTCGTAGTCATAAAATTCCAGTTCACTTTGGTGAATATCGTGTGGAAGTTCGGGATCTTGAAAGGTAGAAACGTGAAGGTATGAAGGAAAGCATCTGAAACATCGCGAAATATGGACTGATTCTGGTGAAGTATGAGACAAGAGAACGCACTGAACCACTGGAGACAGATCATTCCCGGTCTCACCAACTTGGTTGAGGACCAAGCTCAATGATATGCAGCTTGGATGTAAGCTGTCCAGCAGTTATAGTTTTTGTTGAGAATGCAATAAGAAGACTTGGTGAGTCGTTTCCTGCCACCTGATATCATATGTGAGTCCTCTATTTAATAAGCAAAGAAAGTAGACACAGACCTGGCTGAGCCCCCAGCTCAATAATATGAATTCTCGAAACCAGTTGAGCGCCGACCATGGTCTTTGTTGCGAATGAAATAAGGAGAGAAGGTTTTTCAATGCCTGAAACCTGGATCACTCAAGAAGCACCTCAAGAGTTCACGACTGCAGATCCAGTTGTATGTAAAACACACTATCATAAGTTGAGGCTCATAAGATCAGATCAATCGAAGGGAATGATGTCCATGAAATAAAGACGTTACCTTAAAAGTTGCGAATGATGCTGCATGCGCTTCTAATGCTTGACTCCTCTGTTGATCCACAGAAAATAATTGCATGTTTCCCTTCACAAGCTGTGGGCGCTGCAGAACATATTATATGGTATCATTAAACCGTTCGGCCATTTAAATTACGCCCCATATTAATGGCAGAGAGGATATAAACGATGCATTTATAGTCAAAATAAACAAGGCAAAGGTGATACTAATACCCAAATAATCTAACACAAGCAAATACTCTTAAACGTGGGATATTAAGCACACATCGTTCAGAAAGGAAATTAACTCAGATCAACGTACCTCAGGTGCACCAGGGGCAATACCAATCAATACTAGCCACTTTTCAGAGGGATCACACCGATAGTTGATGATTTGGTTACCAGTCAAATTTGCAGTTCTGTCAAACATCTTCTGTGGTGTACTTTCACCTACAGAAATGAAAATCGAAGTTTACAGAGACGCTTCAGTGGTTATGGCAGGATCTCAAATACTGTTAAACAATTTCGGTTGTACCCAATGAATTATAAACCTCTTAATTGAATGCAATATAGAATGAGAAACTCGCCATGGCAGAGAATAGGCGCACATTCACCATTATGAGATGAGAAATTAGGATCAAGCGAAGCTTTCAATTGGTGAGATTTATACCTTCTATGGACCAATGATATACTGAGGTTTGTGTAACAAGCCCTAGTAATTTTGAAGAAATCCACTTCCAAAACACTACCTGCAAGAAGCAGCCAAGCACTAGAGCTTAGATGGTAGCACAGAAAGGAAAAAAAGCTTGATGCTCCAAAACACCTGACGCAAAAGCGCCTCCCATAGACTAACCATTCAGCAAATTAGGTAGAATAAAGGTCATTCTTACCTGTTCTGGCATCTGATGCGATTTCATTTTCGCCTTTAACTCAATGTTAAAAATTTGCAAGTGATCTTGCGTTGACCCAGGAATTAGAGCTGTTGATTAGAGCACCAACATAGCCAAGATCAGTACTTCATAAAGTTGACGTTCTAGCAAGTACATCTTAGACATCAAAAACCAAAAAGATAATCTATAGCTCAATGATTTACAACTACGCTACAGACAATCTACAAATGCAGGATCAATAACTCAGGTCCTCGAGTCCATGTGGCCCCTAAAAGGAGGTCTTCGACGGCCATATAAAATTAGCTCAGGATTTCAGAACAAAGCCCAAATCATCAGAACTACAGGTCAAATGTGAAATAGTAATTGTTTATAGCTTGAAACTAAGCAGCTGATCACTTTGCATGTTCACGGTTGGTACCTAAGATTGTGTATACACAATGACGCTTTAGGTACCAAAAGCATTCAAGCTCTTTTCGCAGATCAAAATGACACAAGAATATCTAGCACTAAAATAGAGGTGCAGAAATCCTTGCTAGAGACGTGTACAACTGGCAAGATTCTTCAATTTCCGAAGTTGCAAAGGAAAGGCTTGTCAAAAGACTACTTCTTAACGGCTTTATTTATCAGTGCATCATGTTCATATTGACACTGAAATACCTAAGTATGGCAGCATATCCCTATACAAACCATAGTTCCACCTAGAAATCCATAAAGAGTACGCACGATCATGTATACAAATGTTCAACTGCTTAATCGGTGCCTGATCACACGATACTTCTCTGGTATTCTTTCCTCGATAGACGCGATGAAGAAAGTAAAGGCATAGGTGAATGTTAATTTTTAAAAGCAGAAGATAATCTCTTGAAGGCGTACATCTAAAACCCTGTAACTTGATCACTTGCTGTTACACAGCAACAGTTTCAAAGAATTTAATGTAGAAACGTGAAGTAGAATCGTGCACCTACTTAACTCTTACATTTTCATGCCCCTCCAGCTACAATATACAATCCTTCCAAACACTCAGTAGACTTGAGGATTGTACAACGCGGTTCCGCGTTGAAGCTGTCAGTTTCTCCCCATATAATTTCTTCTTTAAAGTGAATGTGATAAGAAATTAGAGGCCTACTCTCGGTCGAATCAGTCTTCTGCTTGCGATACTCCATAGTTTTTTGATTTCTACATAATTGAATTACTTGAACATTGCTCTCTAGAAGCTAATTTTGGAACTGAACAAAGCCCTGAAAACCTCGGGGGTGAGGTCAACTGACTCAGCAAGGCACACATACTAGGAATCGTCAGGGCAGAATGTGTCCTTGAATTCCTGTTGCAGTGAAGCACGACAAATCTATCGCATCTCTGTAAAGCACCATATTCTCTGATCTTAACCTCGTGCATGAGACTGAGAACGCACCTTTCAGCGCAAGAACTCTACTGGTTGGATTCATGAGTGCAGAATCGGCAGTAATAGGCCGCCTCAGAGGCTGATTGGGCATCGACATGTCGATAATCACTACACTGTTCTGAGGAGAAGTCTCCCGCACGCAAATGTACTTGTCGGATTCCATCGTCACATGTGTAAATGTCACGAATTGTTGGTTTATGCCCAGACTTGTAAGCTGCATTGCCAGAATTAGCAAAGCTCAGCAAAACTCTAGTATACCACTCTGCAAACAAAGTTAACTGCAGCCAAAATCGAAACTTACATAGCCACCTCCCCAGGTCCCGAATCCCATCCTCCACCTCAAGCACAACTACCTGAGCCCATGCAAACACCTCACCCCCCATCTTCTATCTATAATCCTTCTTTATGAAATCTTCCTTCACCCCAGGCATCCCAGACAAAAGCTCCTTTACATCCAAACGTCCCCGCGATCCACAGATCACAATTTGCACTACCCCACGCCTTCTAACGCTCCAAAAAAATCCACAAATAAACTTCACACTCAGAAAACAACTCCGACGAGTTCAACTAAAAAACTTCTACATCCAGATGTTTTCGAAAACGGCAAAAAGAGAGGTACCGTTAACGCCTCCCTCATGGCGATGGGGGCGTTGGCTGCCGCCATGGTGACCGATTGAGGTCGTTGCACTCCTCCTGCAGATGTGCGAGCCTACGTGCAGTGCAAATTGATCGGAGAGAGCCAGTCCAGCAACCCGGCTGTCTACCTAAGTGATGGTCACACGCAAAGCCGCCTGAGTCTCCCCAGCTCATACCACCACAAAACATCAATACACACAATCCCCCTCGAGGACGACCAAGCTTGATCTCTAAGTAGACTCATATACGGATATCGTATCCCCAACTGACATTGAACAATACGGTTGTGGATGAACCCAAATTGTATTAATAGAAATATGGAAACATTTTGTCCATAGAAGGGCACTTCTTTTTTTACGAAGTTCTAAAAAACGTCACTGAAATTACCATTTCGACGAACTGAGAGTTACGCCAGACTTGTAGTACAATTCCGGATGCGACGCGTGGCTGGTGCAAGCACAGAGCTTATCGCATGACCAATTCAATCGAGACAGGCGAGAGCATCATCCTCCAGACTTCGCTAATCAGTTGACCGGACTTGGCTAATCAGTTGACCCTATTAGATCTAGAAGTCATAGGACGAAACCTGCCCCCTACATTATTTTGTGGTCGAATATGGGCCCCGCAGAAAACCAATCCCATTCTCTACAATTCAAATGGGCACACAGGGATTCCCTTGGTTAACTTGATGTCTATAAGCCCATCTTTGAATTCTCAGTTTCCCAAGACAACATAACCGTCCTGAAGGGGAAAAAGAAAGAGTTGCTACCAACGGATTCCCTTGGTTAACTTGATGTCTATAAGCCCATCTTTGAATTCTCAGTTTCCCAAGACAACATAACCGTCCTGAAGGGGAAAAAGAAAGAGTTGCTACCAACATGGGCAGATCCACCAAGACCCATCATTCTGGACAAGGACTGATTCAGAGCAAGACTACAACTCAGGCTGGGCTCGGTCTCAGCAGCTGCTCTGTACTCCAGCAATCCAAGAATCATGAGCCAAGTCAATCTTGTACTAGGCTTGTGTACACTCAATCCTGTGATGAGGAGAACACTACGGTACGGTACCATCATGATAGCATTCCCACAGCATGGATTACTCAAGAAATGCATCTCCATCTATGTCGAAGATACGACACGCACATATAGCCACAGTAGTCCCGGATCATCGCCGTAGAGAGCGGATTGATTAAATTTAGCCGAAGCTTCTCATACTCCGGAATTTGCGTGGCACTATGTATGGCGGTGTGTTCGAATTTCGGTATGTGGAAGCCTCTTAGACAAACAAAACATGACGTCGAAGAGTACAGGGTTGCAAAGACTTGAGCATGCCGAGCATGCCAAGGAAGAAGAGTACGTAATTGCTTCAGACGTAACGGATGACGATGAAGGGAGTGCAGTTCTTAGCAGATCCAAGGAGATTAATTGTTCAACTTTTCTCTGGCGTGTTGAAGCCTGAGAATCCTGGCAACTGGAGCCAACTGCAAAGTAAGAAACCCTTGCCTCAGCAAAACAAACTGAGCAACACAGATGAGAATGGGAATCCGAATCTTAGAGGTCGTCCCAGAAGAAAAGACGCATTTCTAAATTTTAAAAACTAGGTGAAGTCCACTTCGAAGAAAAGTTGTGATCTACGGCAGGGCAGCAGGAGTCTAAGCAAATGCATCCGACTTCTTCTTCTTCTTCCTCTCCACACTTGGTGACGAATCCCCCACGCAAACACGACACACTGTTCTTTTCTAACACCCTGCAGCACCAATCACAGAGGAAAATTTCCACCTCCCATGGCAGATTGCGAACCTCTCCCTCTCGTTTCTAGAGGAATATGTCAAACTGCATTGACAGGCTTCGCTCAGGCTCGTTCAATGCATCTTTATATCGGTAAATCGAATAAAGTAATTACACAAAAAAGCGTAAAAAAGTAAAATCGGAAAGATATACTGCAAACCCTAAATTGCGGCGTCGAGCGAAGAGCATCTTAACCTTGCAATTGTAGCAGTTCATGGTGGGTATTCAGGGTTTGGCTTGGAGGTAAGTACGGAAGCGAGTTTTACTTCATTTCTTTATGGCTCCTTGTACCTCACTCTTTCAATAAATCTTCATTCAACATTTTTAAAAAACATTTCAACAATGTTTGTAATATTATGTTGACTTTTTTATAAAATATAATCCAAAAGTAACATTGATGAGATTGTGTTTGTACAATTAACTCAAAATAAATAATCAATATTTTTATTTTTTATTTTAGGGAACTATTAAGTGGATATTTCCCTTTTATTTTGTAAGTGGTGGTGTCCTAGAGATTCCCTTCTTTAAAATATTTTCACTTTATTATCATAAATTCAAACAATAAACAAAACGTTACACAAAATATTGTATTCTGTACATAATAGGTAAATTACGTATACAATACGATTCATTCACATGTATATAGCATATAAATTATTTGGTTTTATTTATTTTTCATCTAATTTTCACAATCTTTAAAAAATATATTGCTTTCAAGAGAAATATGCCTTACAAATGTATCATAACAAAAGCAGTGTAGAAAACCTAAAGTAATATCTTAAATTTTCATACAACCCATGAAACTAATGAATATTTAAAATAAATAAGTATTAATAACTTTGACATAAAATCTCTTTAAATCAAAAATAAAAACATGATCATCAAAACTTTGCTTAACAAAATCAGCTGATATATTTTTACTTATTTTTCAGTTTTTTAAGAATAAGTCAATAATCAACCTAAAATTACCATTCTGTATCAGCTTCAAAGTTATAAGACTTTAACATTGTAAATGGGACTTATTAAACTAAGTTTCAAAAACCTTCAAGATGTCACTTTTCTAATAAAATGAACAAAATAAGTTATAACTTGTCATAATATGACAAATTCCGGTATGATATGTCATATTATGTATTCCTTTAACTTTTTTTGTATTTATAATGTGTCTATTATGCTAAAGTGGTACCATCAAAAGATATCCAATCTGATGGACATTGGTTTCAAAAGATTTTATTAACTACATAAAAGCATCAATTCATAAACCATCAATTATTTTAAAAAATAACCCCACAAGTTACTTTATATATTTAATCATGATAATAATAGATATTTAAAGTAAAATTTTAGCATCATTATATATATATATATATATATGTATATTACTAGGAGAACTATAAATATTCAACCACACAAAGGTTTCAATTATCATCCGTGCATCTGTGGACGGATGTAGCGATGAAAGCGACCGAGAATGGATGAAACGGTAAAGTGGAGAGACATGGGCAATGAGAATGGTTCCCATGCCATCTACTGCGTATGCACATGCGATCCTACCATCCCCATATGCCCCTTCGTTCCCTTCGTTCCCTAAGTCAACGTCAGCAGACATAGACCATCCGCAGGAATCTATGTCGCAAATGAATGAAGATATGGACATATTTCATCCAAAAAAGTGACGGACAGAGAGAGCCAACTTTGGGCGGCGGCGGGATGTGTGGGCTCTGATGTGGCGGGGCAATGACGAAGCCCATTGCAATGCCGGGCAATGGCGATGGTGCTGCACCCATTGCCCGAGCTTCTTTCCCTGGCCTCCTCGCCTTCTTCCGCCGCTGCCCTTGCGCCTTTTTCCTTAAGGCGCTCACAGTGGATTTTGTGAGGCGATCCGCATGTTCACCAAATCGAGGTTGGCCAGGTTTTTTCTGTGCGTGTCCAGGGTCGGATTCGCTGTAGAATTTGTGGACTTCATGTTTCCTTCAGGAGCTTCATCTCTGCGGAGCCCTCGACGATATTGAGAAGCACCTGCGCGTCAGTTTTGTCTGTTTAAGTGTTATGAATTTTTTTCCCTCTCGGTATTCCTTCATAGTGTCTGACGAATTTGACGCGAAGGTGCTTCTCTGCGCTCAGGGTAGCCTCAGGAAGCTTTGTGCATTGAAGGGTGGACAAGGTAAATTTAATGCACGTGCAGTTTTGTCAGAGACTTGTGCGATCGAAAAGCTAGGTGCCTAAACTTTGTCAGGGCGTGGACTTGAGGAAGGAGGGAGTGGAGGGCGGGGGAAGCGTCCTGGTTTGGCAGAATCCCAACAGCCTGCTATCCATGCATTTCATGGAGAAGCGCGTGCGATGAAAGTGAATGGGTTTCGACTTAGAAAACGTCCGTGTTAACAGACGTATTCATGCGGGTTCCTGGACATGGGACATTTGGATGGTTCATTAGCAGATTGGGATGGTGTACTCCTTCTGGCCAATGGGACTGTAGAAGTGAGTGGCTTGCAATGCTCACTCCAGGCGCACTTCACTATCGAGGTCGGCGCAAATTTTGCCATCGGGCAGTCATAGGCTGGGTTGGGAAGTCTCGAGATGAACACTCCTTGTATGCTTGCAATGTGCAAAATCCACAACATCGATATTACGTATCTTTATCCACCGTTGTTGTCAGCAGTGTGGTAAGAAAGTACCATGAATCATTATGATCCATGTTGCGTTGAAAAAATTTCGCCCTCATTTGGTGCATGTCACCTCCTGTTCTGTAAATGCGCCGGGTTTATCTATTTTGTGACTGTAGTGAAGGAATGTGCCAGAGTGTGCTGAAACTATAATCACGACCTCGCCTTGAACCTGATGAGTGCAGCTCACTGCTCACCAGTTACCTATTGCGATCGGGTTTGCAAATTAAGGGTTAACGATCAATGAATAGCCATATAAATTTCCTACAACTACACCCCAAGACAAATCTAATGCTAAACATCACTCTGTCAGAGGAGTCCCAAGGATAAAATTGAATCCGGTACTCAAACTCCTCAGAATTTCTTAAAGTTGGTTCAGATCTTACTGCTTTCATTTGTCTGTGTTGAAGAAAATGCCGCTACAACAGCATCCGGAGTTTTTCTTAGTGTTGGTGGAACCCAATGTAGTATTGCCTTCCTGAAGCTCCAGAACCAGTGCATTCTGGAGGACAACTGGTTTGCTCTTTTTGACATGCACACATGAGATTCTGCAATAACTTGCTAAGAACTTCGGGATAGAAAATTCCTGTGTTGCGACGAAGCAGATACAAGTAACCTTGCTCAGAGCTGCCGTCGTACAGAAGGAAGATGTCTATTGCACAGACAGAATGTAGACTTGAAATTAATTGCCTGGAACTGCTGCAACTCCCGTATGGTCTATCAATTGGATGAGTTGCTCTTCTTCTGTTCAAGAGCCCTCTCATTTGCAGTGTCTACGCCCGAACAGGTATGGATACTTAAACTTGATCCCATGGGTACTGCACTTTGAAGACTTCTGTTCAAGAGCTCAACAATACACTGTGGCTGACGGAGTCATTGGTGGATGGGGTTCAGGCTTGTAGCATAGGATGGTTGTTTACAAACGAAAAATCATTCATCATCCATCTCTGTCTGTAATCCATCTCTGTCTGTAGAAGAATGATTCTTCACAATAAATCAAAATGGCCAGCCTTTATAATCATCTTGGCCTCGTTGGTTTGTGCCCATGGCTCGAAGGAAAAGTGTTGTGAAGTAACACAACTATATGGTGAAAGAAGAAAGGAAAGATTATATTATGGAATAGCTTAAATGAAAATATTTTAGCAAATTACGTTAGAAATGTAGAAAATAGACAAGGAGGTAGTAAAAATTAATAAATGTTAGTGCTGTCTTCTTGAAGAAGAGATTTCTACTTTGAAGGAGCATAAGTGAGTCCAATCAGAGTAAATGAAATAAATAACTAATATAAACATTTTTAGGAAGGGATTAAGAATAGGTTTCAGCAAAAATCACCTCAAAATATAAAGAATTGATATCCATAGAAGGCCAGTTGTGAGTCCAAGTCAAAATCAGATCTTGAGGCACAAAACCGTACACCTACAACAACTCCAAAGTCTTTTGATTGATTAAAGAGCAAGAATTGAGAACAAACTTATAAAAGAATTTTTAAAAGTTTATTTCATGTGATTTGAAGATATATTGAAGTTTTGAAGGCATTTCAAAGTGAGAGATGTATTCAATGGATTTGGATTTTGAGAAATAAAAAGAAGTTCACAAATTTGAGAATTTTGAGAGTGTCATAGCTTACTTACATGTGAAATTTTGCCAATTTGTATTTGTGTTTGTTTTAAATACGTTTGAGAAATTTAATATTAATTGAATGATTAGATTGATGGTTATGAGAGTTTTTGTGGGTTGTAGTTTCAAATAATTGCAATTAGGGGTTGGTGAGGGTTTTTGTGATTCTACAACATCCACTAATTCAATTGAAGGACAAATCAGTATGAGTAATTTAGACTCAAAAGTCTACACACCAGCCAATATTTGAAGTAATTTAACAATTTAGTAAAAAAATATGCTATTGAAAGATCAACATTCAAGTTGGAGAAGGGGGTCAATCAACATCTGAGAAGTTTTGGGAGCTTTTCTTTCAATTGGTGTATTAGATTCTCTTTAGATTTTATATACTTGTTAATTGCTTAAAGATTGAAATACAAGTAATATTTTAGTAAAGATCAATGATTTAATTAATATTTATTAAGTTTTAAAACAACTAAGAAGTGGTTAAGATTTACTTAAGATTTTCTTTGAGTTGTTTAGGATTTATTTATGATTTTTCTAGGATTTGATTTAGGATTTAAAATTTGATTAAGATTTGATTAGGATTTGATTTGGAATTTGAGACTTGATTAGAATTTTATTAGAATTTGGTTTAGGATTTAATTATGGTTTAAATAAAATTTGATTAAGATTTCATTGAGATTTGGTCTAGGATTTAAGTAGAATCTGGTTAGGATTTTGTTATAACTTATTTAGGATTTTTAGAGTTTCATTAGGATTTATTTATGGATACATCAAAATTTGGTTAGAATTTATCTAGGATTTATTTAGAGTTATTTAGGATTTTTATTTTTAGTATTTCTTTAGAATTATTTTTATTTTTTAAAATATTTTTATTTTTAGTATTTTTAAAAGTTATTATTTTTCTAATGTTTTTATTTATTTTTCATTTATTTTTCATTTTTTTAGATTTTTTTTGAAATAAATTTGTGACTTCTTTACATTTCATTTATAATTTCTTTGTAATTTTTTTTGGATTAATTAAATTTTGATTAGGATTGTTAAGTATTACTTAGAATTTAATTAAGATTCTATTAAACTTGATAGGATCTTGTTGTTGTATTTTTTATTTACCTTCCACATATATTTGCCTAGTGCATTCTCAAACAAGAATTCACATCATATGACAATGGATAGTTAGCTTCTTATGATTCAAATGATTATCCTACCAATTAGCCATGTGAGCTTATTTTTTTCCTAGAGTCTCTACATGGAACTATGCGTGCACATCCTTTGGTGGAAATTCTATTGTAAGTTGCCATATTTGAAAGCTAGTACTATTTCTTTGCGAGTGTCCACCTGTGACTGGGTAAACAGAGATAATCTTATGGACTCAACGCCCGCCCATGTGTCTTGAAGGCGGAAAGTAATATTCTGCCTCCGAGGACAAAACCATGGCCAGATTTTAATCGTCGATGCGGAATCTCATACACGCCAATTATTAGGCATGAGAATTTCACTTTCTTGCATCCAAAGGCTGGGTTTACATACTAATATAAGTCAAATCAGTGCAACAAGCAACAACGCCAAGCTTGTTCGAACAGCCAAGAGGCAGCGCTTCAACGGTACACCTGAATTGATTGACAATGTATTAGACGTGTTAGTACCAGGGCACATCAGTATAATCAATTTCCTCCAACTTGCTTTCAGAAGAAGTGAATTTGGAGGATAGAATGAACGATGAGTTCCAGTTGTGACTCAGCGCCTTGGAACTCATCGTGTATTATCAACACGTCGAATTTTGGTCAACGGCCGAGTAGTCCAATCTTGGCAGCCACTTCCACAAGTGTATCCTCCAAACTGATCTTTTCAGAAAGCAATTTATACTTTGAATACAAAAAAAATTATAGTTAATGTAAGTGAAGTATTACATCCAAAGGAACTGAAATGCATAATATTGCAGGATCGTCTCGTGTTAGAGTTAGTATACAAGGTATATATCCAGGCTCTTCCGTCCCGATCTCTATGCACACCTGGATGGCTCTAAGAGGGACGACATGAAAATGGATAGTCAGCCGCCCCAAAATCTCATTTAGAGCGTCGAGGGATTAACAGGAGAAGTACGACAAAGTACAGTAGGATTCCAGACGGATTCAAAATCTTCATCTCGAACGGCAGATTTTACAGGGCCGCTGAATAACTGGTAATCACAATTTGTAGTGCGACATCTACGAAGGCCACGAGCTTCTGCACCCCATCCACAAATGTTTTAGGCTCTCTAGCATCCGTGTTGGCAGTGGTTTGAAACAAGATCGCAAACATGAGAGCTAGATTTCGAGTCAAGGAAACGCTTCACAGAGATCTCATTCTTAGCTAACCGTGCAATGGTCATGCTACCCTTTGAAGACCCAGGGGTATCTTCAAACTGAGGACAAATCCACCATCTCTCTAATTGCTTGAAATCTTTCACCTATTGTCTTCAGAATGACGTTGTGCCAGGAAGTATGGGTTACATGGTCATGTTGCTGATGCATCGAACCCACCATCAATTTGAGGTCGACGAGCTTCTGCACATGGAAAAGGATTCGAACGGCTTCCAGATGGACGAGGTTTGAGAATACGTGAAATTTATCAACCTCAGCATGTCAATTTGGTAAGCACTATGTACACACGGTTTGGAGTCCCTCTTTTCGCAGCTCATCGTTCGGTTATTATAAGCCTCTTTCTTCCTTGTATCGATTTTCGAATGGCTGCACGTAAAATGCTTTCAACAAACTAACTGATTGCAATGGTAGGCAAGGAGAGTGATTGTACGATGTTTCTGGTGGTTATCGGCTTGGCTACTTCATCGCATTTTTGTTCTAAAGATTTCTTTATATTCCTCTAAGAACTTCCTGCAAATTCGGGCAGTGTATCCGGGGAGGCCTCCTGATCAAGCCGGAGTAAACACTTGATGGACAGGCGCAGTTTAGAAAGATGGACATTGTGTTTCAAGCTTACTTCTAGATCAAAACTCATATCCAGAGAGTACAATTGGACAGTTACGGTTGATCACAGGGTTCACAGAGTTCACAGGGCGTTTTAAACTTCCTGGTATGTATAATGGCGGGTTGCCTTGCCTGTCTTACTGTTTCGATCGCATTTGATGGTTTATGTTTTTGTAGACCTTCACGATTCTATCAATCATGCCCCGTTTCTCTTTCCAGTCACTTGCGTAGGTATAATATGAGTTATGAGGCGGTTTATTATTGATCACTATGGTACAGGAGTCAGTCGATGTTGACCTTTCTGAGGATGTCGCATCTCTTTTCATGGCCATACCCACAGTTGAGGTTAGTATTAAGCAAGTTCACGGCAATTTTTTTCTTCTTTTCTGAATATTTACAATCCTGCCTCACAGCCTTTTTTGAGTTAGAATAGCATATTCTTTAAGCCTCATGGTGAACCTTCTGTCTAACTTGCAAGTATGCCAAGATGGTAATACACCTGTTGTGGTCATTTATACAGGTGACAAAAATCAAAGTTGGCAATTGCTTATTTCTTACCAAATGTGTAGCAAGGGAAACACACAACAAGAGCAACAGTGAGAGCAACAGGCCTTCTCCTTTAGGATGCAACTCCAACTCTTGCCACGGTGTTGGAAGCTAATCCAACGCTCTATAACAGTAAACAAGTTTTGGAGCTTGATTGTAGAGCCACAGCATTTAGTTCTTTGATTGTGTCAACTTTTGCTACAATAGTATTTGCTACGGATGGTGACCCTGCAAGCATGAGCATCCTGTAAGAAAACATGAACTCTAGGGGGTTATGCATGTGTGTAATATGAATTGTGAGGCAGTTTAGTGCAATGTGAGTTATGAAACAAATTCTCTCCAAAAATGCGGCTTGGGCAGTTGAAACAACAATGGCGAGCCTACTTTGATTAGATTACAGAACGTTGGATTGTAGAACATTGAATCGCAGAACATTGGATCATTTTGTGATTGTAAACCAAACCAAGGCCTTTGAACACATCTTCCACCATGGATCTCAATACGATACGCTGGACAATAGCAGGGCAAGCAAGAGATTACACTTCCAAGAAGGGGAGGAGGAGTCCATGCTAAGACGTATCTCCAAAGCGTAGTGCCTAATTGACCTTGGCAAAACATTGGATTGCAAAAGGACCTTCTTACCTTGGTCATTGATCGAGACCAATGCCTTGCTCTCATGCCAATTGCCATGATACTTGGTTGGGATGTAGGACATACTTGGTCCACAGCTTGTAGCACGCATAAGCTTTTTGATGTGTAAAATAGACAATAATTTAAACTTTACTAAGACTTACTGAAGCTCACTGAGGCATTTAAGTTAACTAAGACACTTGTACGGAAGAAGACAAAGCAAGTGCAACATTAGAAGAGGTGTTTTATGTAGTGAAATGAACATATGATTGTGTTAAATCTATGGATTTGTTATTATGTGCACAAGCAGTGAAATATGAGTTATGAGGCAGTTTTTGTGAACAAATGTAATGGTGTCAAAACAAAGAGAAGCAGCCAACTTTAAGAAACTCACATATTTCTTTGAGGAGGCAAGAGATCTAATTCTACATTCCAACTCTAATTTGAGGAGGCTGGAGCTTTCTTTGTGAATGTCTACACACTTTTACAGGGTGGTTTTCTACACACTCCTCTCATGTTTTTGGAGGGCTTTGTTTAATTGTTACTCTTAAGTTCTTAGATTTTGGATGTGAAGTTTCAAAACTCGAACGAGATTCTTTAATATGACACAATTTATTTTATTGTCTTATGGCGGGGATTACTTTTGCTAAACCTCTAGAAGGATCAAGGTGGGCATTTCAGAATACGTAAGCGAAACAAGTTCAATCTGTTGTGGAAGAATATTTAAAAAGAGAAGCAATAGAAGGGAGCAAAGAGGAAGAAAGTAAAGCTTATCTCTGTGGCTTTGAGCGTGTAGTAGGCAGATGATTCATGTTGTATCTCTATTACTATTTCTTTGAAGATGTCGACTGTGAATGCTCATTCTTATTACCTCTATAGGAAAAAGAAGGCTAAGCTTATAAAGAAGTAGAGAAGAGTGCAAAAGAAGGCTCTTTAGTCAAGATTAGAGAGATAGAGCTTTCATTAACAACATCAAGGTGATTTTGGCAAGAATTAATTTAAATTAATTCTTTAATGTAATAGACTACAATTATGAAAATTCATTAAGCAAGGAGATTGATGCTCATTTATTATAATCAATCAACATCAATATTCATTTTATTACTTGAAATTATTTTATTACAAAAACATTCTTTGATTTATAAAAGTATGCATTGTAAAATGCTCAAATTTGGTCTTTGTTTTTATTATGATCAACGATAAGTTTTATTGTCTGTTAGATATTTTGGACTGCCTTGCTTCAAAGAAAGAAAATGAATTTATTTGCAATATTTTTATGAAAATCAAAGTTTACTTGTTATAGCCACGTCAAATTTATTTTTATTCATGTTAAAATTACATTTTATAAATAATAAGCTGCTCGTATAAGTTGCTCGTAATAGAAGGATTAATTAAATTGCAAAGCTGATTGAGAGGGGGATTTGAACAATTATTATTTTTTAGTATTCTAGAATATAGCCATGAAGACTAAAAAGGAGGAATCACAACTTTTTACAAGCCACCACAAATAAAAGAATTTTATACTTGACTTTTTTGATTCTGCACTACAGACATTTCACATCTTTCAACTATCATCATTCTCTCTTCTATAACAAAAGCTAGGATACAAATGTTAAATATAAGTTTATATAAGTATTTCAAAGTTATTTTATTATTATATAATTTTATATTAATAGTTTTTATCTTTACAATTAATTTTTTTTATAGTTTTTATCTTTATAGTTACATTTATAGTTTTTATAGTTTTTATAGTTTTCATATTATATTTACTATATTATATTTTATATTATATCTTCATTGTCAATAAAATTCTTGAGCAACACAATTGTATTGGAATTTTAAGAGTATTATTGACTATACAATAAGAATTGCTATACAAAAATTAAATTGTAGGAATTTCATTTATTGCTCTTATATGAATTTTTTTATAGTCAATTTCATGTATATGAATATATACATATATCTATTTGTGTATATAAATAAAATAATAAATAATTATATATTTTTAATAATAAATATTTTTTATTTTATTTATTTATTTTGATTTCTAAAATATAATATTTTGAAAAAATTAAGTTTTTTTGTTATAGCAAGTTGTTGTAAAAATATGTATAATTGTAATCAATAGAAATGCATAAATGTAGAATAATTTTTGTTAAAGCATTGTGGCATTATAATTTGACTAATTATGTTGTATGTTATCATGCTAGAAAGTAGAAAATATATAAAAATAATATGAAATGTTATGAAAGATTGGATTATAATTAAAAAAAAATAGAATAAAAATAAAAATAAAAAATAAAAATAATAAAATATTTATCTAATTTATTTTAAATTATAAATTAATTTTTGTAATTAAAGTTAGAAGATATAGGATTTATTAGTAAGAAGTTTAGAAGGGCTTTGGAGTCAAAAGTATAATATTTTGACTCCTAAGCCACCTTACATAGGTAAATAAGATGAATGACAAAGGATTTCATTTCTATTAATTGAAAGTCATGCCTAATGGGCTTTAAGATATTATTTGGAACCATATTAGATTTTAGGACTACTTTAGAGCAACCTATTCAAGGTAAGGCAGACCATTCAAGGTAAGGCAGACCATTCAAGGCAAGGCAATTCATTTAGATTTTAGAGATTGAATTCAAAAAGTATATGTTTTGGGCTAGAATTTGGATGAAAAAAAATGTGTGATTTGGAAGTGTAATGAAAGAACTATGGTTTTTAGAAGTTAAGGTGAAATTTTGGTACCTACTATTATTCTTTTAAGTATATAGAGAGTTGTAAGAAAGCTTTGAAGAATCAAAAAAATGAGATTCAAAAGCAAACTTAAAGAACTATATTTTATGTAAAAAAGTTGATACATTCCAATATAGATTAAAGGAGAAAGAGCTAATGGAAGTTAGTATTCAAAACTGGAATTTGTATGTGAATTGTTTTTAATGTAGGTTTTGATTATTATCATATCTTGAGCTTTTAGATAAATTTTTGGCTCAAAATATCCACAAATGTAGATGACTATGTTAAAAAGATTTAAGTGAAAAATTCATGATATTTGATGATTGGATTTCGAGATATGAAGGAATTAATGTGTGAGTGCCTAAAAATTGATATATTTAGTACTTTCTAGAGATTAAGCGATATTCAAAGACTTCTAATGAATTTATAGTTGAATTTTTGTATTAAAGTAGTTAAAAATATAAATTAACTTGTGAAGAATTTCGAATCCAATTATACTATTAGATTAGAAGTTATTAAGTGATAGATATATGGAAGAGTTTTCTATAAGAATAGAATTGATTTTAGAGTAACTAGTTATATCTTAGATACTCTTGTGCATTTTAAACTTGTGTATTTGATGTAATTGTCTTCTTGAATATAAGGTATAGATCATTTTTTTTTTTTTTTATAATCTTAAAACTTATTTAAGTAATTAGTAGGAGCCTAGGGCTAGTCCTTTTTTGAAACAACTCTTTCTACTAAACAACGCATTCATTTTTATTTTACAAATACTATGTAATTGTATTTGAGTAACAAGATTTTATTAGAATTTTATGGAGATACAATTTTGATACTTAGAAGCTTACTCCAATTGTCTAATAAAATTCATGTCGTTGTAAATGGCCCAACTTTAATAATATATTGAAGAACAATTAATCAATAATAGAGTAAGTGTCAAGGATAAGAACATGATAAAAATAAATAAAAAAGTGAGACTTCTCTCAAAAAAAGATGAAAAAATAGAAATAACTTGATATATATATTTAGAAAGAAACTGAAATGGCTATTGCCAAAAGCCAAGAAAACTAGAGACCCTTGAAATTAGATTGGAAGCAAGAAAGGAGTTGACAAGAGTGAAGAAGGCTTTACTCTTGTCTCTATATATACTATCTAACTAGAGGCTACGTGGTGATGTTCTATAGGACCTCCAATATGTATTGACTTTGTAAGACACATGCCTTGACTTACAAGACAAGTTTTTCTACAAGTAGGCTACATAGTTAGCTTGGTCTTTAAGCTAACAACATGTGTGGCACATGGCCAACTTGTTGACTACATTTTTAATCAAAAAAATCAATTAAAAACACCTATAAAGTCAAAGTAGTGTCTATGAAGCTTCTAGAAAGCTCTTATAGTAAATATTATAGAATTAACTTACTTTTACTTACTTTTACTTACTTCTACCTATTTATACATGTAATTATTGGCTTACATGCATATGTCTGTGACAATAAGAAATATGAAAGAACACAAATAGAAGCTATAAGATTTATAAGTATTAAATCCATATTTAATTTATAGATGATGAATGTTTTGTATCCTCATTGTAATGCATTGCATTAGCTTGATGAATATTTAGCTTGGTTGCCAATGAAATTGTCATTATTTGGATAATGTTGTTATCAAGAAAACTTTCTCTATCATCTCTATTTTCTCTACTTTTCCTTTTGAAATGCTCATTCAAGGACCAAGATGCAAAAGCAAAGGAGTTTCAAAAAAATATCCATCAATACATTGTTGTATATGTGTATATGTCCCTAAGTGAAAATATTGATCAACCTATGTCTTAAAGAAATGCTCCATACAATTTTAGAATAAATGGAAAGTTACACCATTTAGTAGGAGTATTGTTATTACCTTTAGAAGAAAGTATTGATCCAACTTATGTACAACTTTATACCTACAATACATCATTTGCATAAGATAGAAAAATGAATTATAATTGTGGTTTATTGATCCAAAGTATATAGAAAATTAGAAAATTTTTGAAGGAAAATAATCCATTTATTGGATTATATATACAAGCACATGAAATACTATCTTAGGCATGGAATCAAAGAATAGTGGAAGTAAATTTTATTATTTTTATATAATTCATGAATGATA